CGTCAAAACTCTTTCCATCTATTCTTCGTTCCTTTGTGTACACAATAAACTATCCTGGCCTCCACCGACTTCTTTCTCTACTAGGTAACCATGGTCTGAAGATCGCAGTTGCAAGGGTTTAACTTACTTAACCCCCTGCGGTAAATATAATCGTTCCCGACGGTTAAACTGTTGGATGGCGGATTTTTTTTCAATATTATATACAATCATAGTTATATGGGTGAGAGGAGAACAGACAGCACTGTACGAATTTACCTGCAGACCTTCACCGCTTAGCGCACTGCAAGGTTGGATCTGCCACTTTCGATCGCGGATCGAAGTAAGACCAAGACCCTCTGATAGGCCATCAGCGCTAGCAGCATTAACGAGGTCTTGTTTGTTGGCAAGAACCAACAAAGGAACACCCTTCAACTTTTCATCCTTCAACAGTTCGAAGAGTTCCTGTAGAACAAAAAAAGTAAAACCAGGAGGGATTAAAGAAACCTTTGGCGAACACAAGTACGATTACAATGGGTTTAGTATAGAATGCATAAATTTGGGTATCTAGGCAAAATAAGTGCTTTTGGTGCGTTTGTGTACCAGTCTGGTGAGAAATAAGTAAACTGGCAAGGAGTTTATTCCTTTTAATGACACTGTGTTCGGCTCAAGAGTAGGTCAATAGACAGGGACTGCGGAAAACGGCAAAGAAGGGTTAGGCAAAACCTAATTGATTATTAAGAGTTCACAGATTTACACTAAACGCGTAACAGCTCGGCAGCCGAGCCCGAAAAGACTTGTCCCTTATTTTAGAAGAAAATGACAGCGGGCGAGTTATTACTTTCCCCTCTAATTGCCATACACCTCTTCAGAATAAACACCTTCAAACACCTCCAGAAAATCCTTGTACAGGTGCTCAAGTTGTAGGCTGGAACTTAATTACAGGAAACCCAAAAAATATGAATGAGGCCCATTAGCGGTCAGGTGAACGTTCATCAACGAGTGTCAACACCCTCTGCCTAAAACGGGCTAGACAACAAACTCGTGACTCAATGGTTAGGACGTTTGACTCTGATCAAAAAGGTCGCGAGTTCGAGGCTCGAGTGGGGCACCACGCCTGGCTGATGACGGCTAATAAGCCAGAAATGGTCATTCCAGTCTCCCTTATCCTAGCCGGCACTACTATCTGCCTAAAAGACAAAATCTCGAAAAATTGAGTGTTGTTGAGGATCGGGTCTAAAAAATAAGAAAGAGTCACGTCGCATTGACCCGAAAAATAATACCAGTAAACGAGTGAAACTAATAAATCAACGCTTTGATGTGATTGGATAAGTCCTGGCTAACGCTGTATTTCGCACCCTTCAAAGTCAAAAGACTAACGAGTTATAACTATTACAGCACAGCTTCACTAGGGCAACTGTAAGAGGGCCAAATTTATCCACAAATCAGTAACCCTTGTATTTTGTGTGGTCTAGGGTAGACTCCCCATGTCAAGAAACATCTACCGAAATTCTGAGATGCGCTGGTGCTTCGAACAAAATACGTTAGTAGGGTTATAATGTTGATAAGCGTATAACCTAATCTCAAGATATTTCAGTCAAGTCCGGATGCCGACTTTTAAACGAACTTCTTTCTGACTGCCTGCAAAGCATATACAATGGAACCTCGCTAACGAGTTTCATCCTGTCCAGCACCCAGCACGTCACGCGAAACGCTCGTCTTGCGAAAGGTAGCCCACCAACAAGGCTCAACGGCAGACATAGGCACACACACGCACTGATAACTCGTTAACTGAGCAGAATCTCGTTACTCAAAACAAATTTTCGGCAAACGGCTCACTCTTTACCTTAAATGCTCGTATATGGGACTGCTCGTCATCCGAGGCTCCACTTTACTCGATAAAAATGTTTACTCAAGTAGTATGCGTTTTTCTCCTTTATTTTAAATGCCTTTATAAATAGAAATATATTTTAGAGAAAACACGCACAAAAAGATTCTTTCTTGTGCTCGTTTGAGGATAGGGTTTAAGAAAAAGCTAAATTGCGAACAGTTTTGGGTCCTACTGGCCGCTATACGTGTATTCGAAGTTTCGAAGCTACAAATTGAATACAGTCTGTCTTAAGAAAATCACATATTTTTCTACGCTTTGTGGGAGAAATCGGATAGCTCTCATAAAAAACAGGCACAAGAACGGATATTGCGTGCATATTTTCTATAAAATATATTAGAATGTATAAGGGCGGTAAAAATAAATGAGAAAAATGTAGACTACTTCTGTAGCCATTTTGCAAAGAATATTATTTCCGTGATTGGTCATAGCGAAACTGGTTTAAAAACCCCAGCATCCTGCCGTGACTGACATATCTTGAACTTCCACTGTACGATAGCCAGCAGTACAAACATACTTAAGTAATTTCTTCTAATTACAAATATATTTATGAATTTCGGTTGACATTTCATGTGCTAGGGAATCTACTTTATGTGCTAAACTCTGCGTGAGCTTGGAGCCTAATCAGCGCACTGGCGTGTTCCGTCTGAATTTAGAAAGCGTTGGCTTTGCGCGGAGCAGCCAACAGATGAACAACCTA